ATAGGTATAAACAAATCATACCTTGCAAATTATGCACATACTCCCATAAAGCGACCACACACCACATATCGCGTTCAATTTGTGGCGTACAGGTGTCCCACGAAAAGTGCGTTATTAAACTATGGTTTTGTAATTAAAAGGATAGGTACATGTTGTTACATGTTGTATTTGAGTGATGTTGGTTCTTCTACAGAATAATGTTTAAGTTTAGTAGTGTTAAACCTTAAACTTTAACTTTATAGAGATTCGGCAATATTATTAAATTAAACCCACTTTTTGCTTACACTGTATAATATACATCCGCCAAGGGAGAGTTGACCTTTACTATTATTTACCCGCTTTACGGTATTCAATAGATACACGAATGTCACAATTTGGATCCAAAGATGGCGTCCATATACCTTGTAACGTAATGATGTCGATGCGGAGATACGATTTTTCTATACGGATTTTATGGACAGCAATCAAGGAAAAAAAGCGCTTCTTTTCCGCATGGACTTATTAGAAAAATATGTTATCACAGCAGATTTCTTTATAAGAAGTCTAGCACTGGATTATTAATGTATAAAACGTGTTCATGAATGTAAGTACCGCTATAGTATATTTTTTATTGTGTTTTTGCTCTTTGGAGAACTGTTACTTTGAACTACATAATAATATGTTAAGTTTTAGCTTTGAGCAGTTGCTCTCACGATTATAAAACCAATGAGGTAATTGTAATTTTCTCTTCAATAAGATATACACTTTAGAGCAAAAAATTCAAAGACGGCAGAGCGAAACGTAGCGCCTTGTTAGCGATCAGGATGATATTTCAGCGCAAAACAAAGAGATCAAACCCTCTCTTGTTCCTTGAGTTAACAAAGCTTCAATGACCCTTTGCTGTCGGCACCTTCTTTGTCATCCTGGAGCCCTTGTCGTTAATGTCGAAAAAGATTAATTACCAAACAAATTAATGGGAAAATGTCTACTGATGACAGAAATGACATATTGCAGTGTACGCTCTATTGTTTCGGCTATTGTCCGCGGAACGGGAATATTTTTCGATATCGTGTTTTGAATAGGGATAAAAATTGAGCTGTGTGGTTTTAATTACTTTCTTATTTTTATATTTGTTAGTTTCAAATACTAAATTAGACATGGTTGAATACGGCTCAATTATGTGAGGCTTGTGTTTATTTATTGGATCAAAAATAAAACAAATTTTTATTTTTAGGGAGGTTTTTTTTTGGGTTAAGCCCGCCACAACCTCCCAAAACCGTTGCAACTCCTGTCAACCAGGATGTACAGAAGTTGCAACCATGAAAACACCGGAACACTGAAGTCCGGCACGTTCCAGGGACATGAATTGACATGTCTTGGTTCCCGCAACGAAGTGAATCAGAAGATAGTATAAGAGGAAAAGAAAAAAAACGATAGTTTCCACTTCTTTCTTCCACTTTTAGGGGGAATGCTGATGTTGGTAGTCATAAAATGATTTAATCGTTGCGCCCTCATACCTATTGCTTGGAGTCGGCCGGTCGGGCTACCTAATGAGTGCACACATCTGCATTCTACAAAATATTATTCTTCTATTCTCCATCAAAATTAGTTTAGCTATTCAGGGGGAGTGCAATAACACTCACACGTACAAGATAACTACAGAGATAGGTATTTACATAAAATATGTAGATAATTATTATGTATAGGCTTCCTAACCATAATTTAAGTCAGTCACCTGCCGACATGCTGGTTATGATCTAGTGCTGGCAGACGTGAGCTAATTAGTTCAACTTGCACATGACTGACAAAGCTTTTAACTGAACAGCGGAGACCTGCTCCATTAGTGTACTCAGTGGAGATTGTTACATAGGTATGGTGTTGTGGGTTAAAATTAGATATATCTTAGCCATTTAGTCCTATTTTTACCCGACTGCAGCAAAGTAAAAAATAATATGAATAAACTCCTTTTTTATGTTTATTTGTCACGGGCTCACAACTAACAAATGTGAGGTAAAAATTATAATTAAATGAAGCGCACTACGAATGCAATAATGAGACTACAGTTGATGTAATTCAAAAATCTATAACTATATAACATATGCACTATAACAGGTGTAAAATTCATAGACTGACTAAAAATAACCGAAAGACTGGCGAAAGAGAGCAATTGGAATGATGACAGGGTATGAAAATTAAAAATATAATTAGTCCGTAAGTAAGGTAATGAAAACATATTAGACATGTATTTTTATTTTGTCGTAGGTATAGTACAATAAAACAATACTTAGATAAAACGAATCAAAGTTTAGGAGTATATGTAGAAATTACGTTTTACGTCATTTCTACATATAAAATGTACATAGAAGTGAAATTGAAATGTACATAGAACATTTCAAATCAATATATCGTCGAAAGTATTTGTTTCTGTAAGAAAATAAAAAATACGTGTCTAATGATTTAAAATAATCTACCAGACGGACATTAAAATAAAAATTACGCATCTACCCTATTGGCGTTCCATAATTTCAGGCTGGAAGACAGGCGTGAGGATATGTATGTACCTATGTAAATTCATAGAATTACCACTAACTTTAGCTAGACAATTGAGGCATTTACTTTAATGTATCTACTCATATAATTCTTAGAATCAGTTAAACCTTTGTACCTAACTAGAATAATTTCTAGCTTAGGGGAGTATCCGTGGAAACCACTAAGCGATGTTGTAGCGTGTGGTCTGCGGTAATGTTGTGTGTAGTACAGTCTATCGACGTCAATATTCCACGACTAGTTATCGACTACAATAGAGATTGCATAACGAACTTCAACCACACACCAGCTCTGAACAAACATCTTGTCATTAAGACAATGTTCGATAGAAACTATCACTCGTTATTGAAATACAATAGTTAGAATACATTGTTAGGTTACTAAGTTATTAGTTAGTAAGGAGTTTGTGCTTGAACACTGGTTTGGTTTTGATATGGTCAGTTCAATATTATGATACATTTTCAATGTGGAAGATTAATACAAAGATATCGAGTTGTGACACATCGAGAGAATCGACACATAGAATTTATGTGAATATGAAGAGCAATCCTCTGTGTGATCTTCCGAGTGAAGTATTAGGTTGATTAAAGATGAAAATAACAAATGATCTCTTTGGACTACTCAGGGTCCATTAGTGCTGACACTCAGCCCAGAATTCAGACTACTAGTCGAGATAAGGCCAAGAGAAAGAAGGAAGATACCATCGATCTAAAAAAAGCTTAAGACGATCAATTTGATCTTTAAGTTCGGGTACAGTGATTAATGTCTGTTACGACGCTCAAACGTAGGAAAACACGGCGAAGGCTTCATTAAAAAAGGATTTGTTATTAGAAACTGATCCGTTGCTATCCGAGATATAATAAACACGCCGTATTTTAAGATTAATATTAAAATGAGAAAAACCGTGAGACTTTAATCCCTACAGTAGTAGGGATAAAGATTTAATTTGTTACGTCGATGGTTTTTCTTGAGTAATATTAAACGCAATATCTCCATCTGTTTCACTGTTGGCGCACTTATTATTCAAACACTATTAGTCAATTTAATTAATATCGATGTTCACATAGAAACAGTAAGTTCATAGGGTATTACAGTCATGGTGACTTTCAAATTGCTCAATTTGGGTCTCTCTGGTCTATCCTTGCAATACGTACTTAAGTACGAGTTCGTTAAGAAGTCATACATTAAATTATTAAAAACTGTTCGTTAAAATCAAGTTCAACGTAGTCTATCAATAATTTCACGGATGGCCTGCAATCGACGGAAGAGGAGTACACACACTATCAGGATCGCGGTGGCGGTGATTATGCACTCAGGCGCTGGCACCGCCCGCCCCGGTTCAATTTAACGCCATTTGCTGGCGAGCCGCGACGCGACGACCTTAACTGCCAATTAATAGCGCCTATTTACCATCCACTAACAATGTTATAAAAATATAATAAAATTATCTTCAATTTGTCAATAGATTTCTGAATGTTTAAGCAATTTTAGAGACGTATCTTCAATACGAGTCCGTATGATTTCCTTATCACATCATCGTCATTCAAATAAGGATAACTAATAATGTAGTCCCTGAATTTCAATAATTTTAATTGTATGTGATATTGGAGTTCGACAGTTATACAGGGAACGAGTGAAAGGCATCACTTGGCCAACGTAAACCTAATCATTGAAAACTAACAGTATGTGAGTGAGCATCGGCCATTCCCAGTCGAGATATATGTTTGACTTGCTACGTTTGTATGCCCTCTGTTTGTGATTGAGACTCGACGTCGAATAATCTGTCTTGATTTTAAAGGAATATATTCGCTTACATACGCTCCTCCTTCTTGGAATGTTTTCCTTGTTGGAATTTAATATTAAATTTTGAATAGTTTGCTTATATGTCAGTTTTCGGATTCGCTATTTTGTTTGAGCACCGTCTGACTCTATATTGATTTCAGTAAGGATATTCATAATAAGTATTGATCGTATTTATTATTGTTAATGAAGTGACCACATTTTTTATATTCAAAGCTACGTTTTACAAGCTTCGCGAGCACAGAATAGATTTCAAAGCCACAACAATGAGTGAGTGCGCGGTAAAAACTGGTGAAGTTTCAAGTGGCTGCATACTCTGCGCAGCATGGAGTGTAGTGACGTCACGGGTCCGGCAAACGTTGCATACAAATCAGCACAGTGGTCGACTTTCATTGAAACTTTGCAAAATTAACTTTGATCGCGTTTTAATACCGGCGTTTGCGTGGTAAAGTATTAAATCTCAATTTATATCCGGCCCGTCTTTATCTAACTAGTTTATGAATTCGTTTTAAAGTTTCCCCATTAAGTTATAGTTACTCTTACGGAATATTTTTAAAAAATCATTTCCTTGAGATTTCTTTACTGAAAACAGAACATAGTCAAAGAGTTGTATTGAATATTGTGATATATTTTGGAAATATTGTAAATAACATTAAAATAAAAGCATTATTGAATTAAAATTCGAGTAAATCACATGTATATCTTTGATCGTACTCAGTATTGACGGATCCGCATTTCGATGTCGAAGGCTTCATACTGACAGCTCGTTTTCCTAAGAAGGGACTGTGTCGAATGCCGAAGCTCGGAGCTGGTACTGATGGCTTGTTTATCATGAACTGTGAACAAATAATAGAATAATATTAAGTGAGACATTTCTGTAAGAATATCAGGTAATTTATAGAACGCTTGTTTGATCATCAATAAAAACGTATTTACTTGCTTTAAAATTAAACTTCCTATGCTTAAGATATTAGTTAAAATACGCATCGAAATGAGTACCTATTGTTTTTAAATGAATACCTAAGTATATATATATTTTAAATTACATATTATTATATCAGAGTTACGTGCTGGAGTTTTCGCATAGGGCATAATAATAAACCATTACTTTTAAAATGAATATGTCCATACCTTCTTTTCGCAATAAGTGTTAGGCGCGGGAGTAAATTCTGTGCCTCGCTCCGGTTTGAACCGAGGCCCGAAGGAGAAGGCAAGCTTCCTCTTTCGTACATAATCGTGATTAGGGTTGTGTTGACCTGGACCAGGTGTCTTACTGGTGTAGTCTATGTCGTTTCTGTATCGGAAACTGAATGATGGTGGTTTTCTGGACAAAAACGGACATTGTTGTTAATAATTATGATAAGTACAATATGAAAAGACATGTATTTTCACTTGTCACACTCAAAAACTGAGTCAGCAATTTTATTTAAACTTAATCCTTTGAGTACCGTCATTATAGACACAATTAAAGAACAATAGGTTGCGGTCACCGGTGTCCTCGTGGTGTTTGACAGTTTAATAAGATGGCCACCACCTCTCAGCAATTAAAGAGCCATTTAAATAGCAATTCAAAATAACCCAAGTCAGTATAACATGAACTATTAAGCGGATTTGACCGTAGCTATGTAATTTCGTGCGCTTACTAGCAAGAACAACAGATTCATAATTAAGTCGGAATAGCCACAATATAGGAGCTCTGAGAGCACGGTACAAATATGCACTACGCTTTAAATCCGAAGATTAAACCGAAATGCTTCTGTATTTTGAAATAACTTAATTAGCAGGCAAAACTGCAGTAAGTGGTATATTCTCTGTAAGAAGTATGATACCTATGTTGTGCATCTTTCTGAGGTAAATAATATTTGCTATGTTTGTTTAAGTAGGTAGGTACGAGGTTGGCAAAGATGCACACTTTTTATAGGTTAAACCGGTAAACGAGCAGACGGATCACCTGATGGTAAGTAATCGGCGTCGCCCATTGGCACATCGAAACACCAGAGGCGTTACAAATGCGTTACCGGCCTTTTAGGGATAAGGAATTTGAGTATTGTAGGGAATTCAGGGATTGTGGAGATTGGTAATTGGACCTCCGGTAACCTCAATCACACAACGCAAGTGTTGTTTCACGTCGATTTTCTGTGAGCCCGTGGCATCTTTCCGGTCGAGCTGTTCTATTTGTGCCGAAGTATGGCTTTACAATACTTTAAAGTAACATCCACTTATCGTCAGTTCGGAAGTTCCAGTAGTAAAACCGAGCCTACAACTTCGCCTAGAAACGGTTTCAGCCTTAGAGCTGTAGATATAAAAACATAGACACTTGACATTGATTTAGGTCTGGTAAGTCTAAATAATGTCTGTACTGATTATCTAATACTGCCAACGTTCCCTCTATTACATTGTGCTGTTAAGATGTTTTTGAGGAGTGAATTATAGAGGTATTATAAATCCATCCTTGAATGTACCGGGTAATATGTGATTATTAAAAACTAACTGTTTGCTGAACTCCTCCTCTTTGCTGATATCCTCAAAACCCGTTCAGTAGTTTCAGCGTCATTATCAGCGTCAACAAACATCCAAACAAAGAAACTTTCACATTTAATAGTATAGTCTGATTTATTACCCAATTACGTTTTCGATGTAACTGAAGCATAAAATTGTAGTAGGTACTGATGAATTAAATATTCTATTACTATTGCTTACAGTCCACCTGTAATTTTTTTTCTCTTTCGAGGTGGAAATCAACATTATTTTGAATTACTTACGGTTTTGGTATAGGAGGACAGTACATGTTGGGTGGCGGGGTCCAGGAATCGAACGACTGATATGGAGGCTTGGGTGCAAGCCGCATGCTGTACGCTGGTAGGCGCTTAACCTGTACGTGAAAGTTGGGCTCGTGGGCACCAGGCCCTGGTCTCCTCAGTTTATCCTCAGGCAGCTCCGTTTTATACATCATTAAACCTCCTGGGATTCTATGATGCCCTAGTACACAAAATAAACAGCGTTAATTTCAAATACCTAATTTCTCGCGATAGAAAGGTTGTGCTTGGTATCGGTATATCGGAATAAATTACAGAGTTTAATATAATGTAATTCATTATTAATGGCTCATATACAATTATAAAAAACTATGTAAAAAGAATAATATCATGTATCATTCTCATTTGATATGAACTATCTTTTACCTTTTTTGCTGTTTCCACTGATATCGACCAACGGTGCATCGGGTGAAACCGCTGGGGCCCAACAAGGTTTCAGAACTCTACCGAACGAGTAAGCTGGTGGACGTTTTATATTTGAAAATCCTTTGCCAGCTGAAACATAATTATTATACGTGAATGCAAAGGTTCATTATTCAGAAATATGTTTAGTTTATTAATAGGAATTACAACCAATTTTCACTAAATGCATATTATATTGTTTACTATTATTATTGTTCTACATATTGTGTGGGACATTTGCCTTCTATTTACTATAAACACCGTATTTTACATTTCTAAACATCACGTGATATTAAATGTCGAAATCGATTGAAAAGTAATTTATAATTTGCCTGAGGACGGAACTCAGGGCCTCAAACGCACTCGCATTTGCGACCATTAGACTAAAGGAAGTGTTCCCTTTTAAAGGTACTTAAATTCGAGTATTATAAAGAGGCTGAGTCGAGGCTCAGTTAAGTCGATTAATATTTCTATTAGATCACTTAGCTACAGAATCCGTTTCTCAAAGTTGACATCAAAGGCGAATAATGAGAGAAATTGATAAGATTTATTGTTAGCTAACTTTCAAATTTATCTAGTTTTCTGGTATTTTCAACTCGGAATTGATTGGGATGTTTAGCGTTAATGAAGTTGTCTAGCCAATCAACCTTGTTATACACTTAAGTAAAAAGGACGGGAAAGTACGTAATATTTAATTGAAACTTTAAAAAGAATAATCGTATTGTAATTTCACATTGTTCGTTGAGGGATGTCGGCAAGCAAATTGGATGTAAAATAAATTGGCATAGGTTAATCAGAAATAGTGCAGCTTGCGTTTTATTGTTACTTATGAGATTACTTACCACGACATCTCCAGTTCGTTGGTTATTCAGTTACCATAACGCATGCAGTACGGAGTTGGGATCCGTGTCCGGTTTATGACCTTACCACAAACCACTGAGGGTCAAACATGGGCCTAATAACTGGTGGAAACCGAGTATATTAATACACCTCCGATCCACAATTTGGGTATAAACAATGGTCGGTATATATGTATGTACATATGTGTATGTATGAAATTATGGCCTTACCGTTTAAATCTGGAGGTTCATAATGGTTCGGCCCGGGTGTGCCTAGTTCTTGCAGTATCGGTAAGGTCCGAATCGTAGGTTTAGCTGGTACCTGCTTCACTATCCTACTTCTACATCCATAGCCAAACGGCATGGTTTAGTTTGAAGTATCAAAAATTAAGATTGAATACACTAATTAAATAATAATTGCAAAATTCCTAATAATATGTTTCATCACAACGTGTAGAAGCGTTTTTGAATGACATTAAAGTGACTCAAACATTTTGTGTTTATTGTCGGCCAGTGGTACAAACGAAGCTATAGCAAGGAGATCCGAAATCATCCCAACGGATGAACAGAATAAAGCCAGCGATAACATTTGAAGATAAAAACGGCACGAACGCAGGAATCAGGAGGGCAAATAAAAACTCAGGGAATTTCCACGGTCCAGGAAATTGAGCTGCACCGGATATCGTCGCACCGGAGCGACGTGCGACGGAGGAATGGCTTCCGGCCGAGGTGGGCCTCCTTCATTATACCTCCATTCTCTCCCACATTTCAATTCTGCAAATAAGACTTCGACTTTAAGATTTTTAATCTCATATTGAGTAACTACTTACCAATAATGGATTTCATTGTCAATATTATTTTATTCCATACAAAAACTACCGCTAAAATCCCGAATAAAAGTTCGCAGACGGATATATTGCCTCTCTAATACTTTTTCATGTAGAAATATTCGAGTTGTATAATCAAAGACTATGATAGGTTTCGGTTTGTTTAGCTAGCCCGCGTTTTATATAAAATCATTGATGCGGAAAATTAGAATGACCCCGTTCGTTAAAAAATGTTGAAAGGTTTTCAGATGGGATGGTTATACAGAATCCTTCATAACATTTTAAGAAATGCTTTTGAGAACGGCCCTCTCTTCATTAGACAATTAATTGATTTTCTTGTTTCTTGAGTAACACTGGAAGACCTTCATCAATTGTGATATTTAGAGGATGCTTAGTGCGTACATTTTTGTTCTAGAAATCAATGTCGTATTCACTTATCAGATTGCGTCTTTTACAGTAAACATAACCCACGCATATAATCAAAAAGGACGCAGCGACATCATAACTTGATGGCGAATAATAATCAATATAACGTAATATACCGTGTCTCGTTCCTCTCATAATTTATTCGTGTAAGTAATGGAAAATTAAAAACGAAAACGGGCCAATATGGCGGGTCGTGTGGCATTCATTATTCAAGCCATATTGCTGGGACATGCGGATCGCGGGTTTTATAGATCCAGCAATGAAAGCGCTGAGCTCTCACGGGTTACATGTACCCGGCATACTCAGGGTTACGGTACATGTTCTAAAGTATTCGTAACCGAGTTAACAGCAGCGTGTGGCTGCCTGAATTTCAGAGAATCTTAACAAAGTTTGTACATGTTTCCAGGTAGGTTTCTAGTATCTAAAGCAAATACAGAACATTTTTCAAAACAAAAGTTTCCACGGAAAACCTCTTAATGTAATACACATGTATGAGCAAGCATCAAATAGATTTAGTAACAAGAAATTGGACTCTTTACGTTACATAGCCAGTGGGAGGGTTAGGGTGTGTTTATACTGATAGACTATTACAACAGCGAAACAGAATACTTCGTTTATTCAGTTCGGCGAAAATTCTCCCTGAAGATTAAGTCCGAAGCAGACTGTAATTTATAACAATTTAAATTTGTTTTCTTTCTGTGAGGCACCATGGGACTGCAAGGATTTAAGTAATTAGTTAAATAAGTAAATTAATAAGTCGGGCCCTGTTCAGCAGGTTGTAACAACTTCTTCGAAAATTACGTAGGCAGGTAATAAAGAGAGTTCCCCTGTGTCACAGAACAAACTTGTGAGTGTGGAATCGCTCTTGTTAGGGAATCTCGCGCTTCGTTGCCTTCCGCGCAATTTGCGGTTCACTAAACTTTATTACATCTTTTGTTTTAGGAGGAGCGCACAACTAGTCAGCGCGAGACTGAGAAGGAATACAGAAATGACGTCCTGTATACACTCTAATTTGTGGAGCAGGCGTGCACTCGGAATTCTTTGTTTAACGTTTCAAGACAATCACAAGAAAAACAATGAGGTACGGTGGAGTTAAAAATCAATAGAAAAGGTCGGCTCAATGCCGCTCGGCTTAAGCTCTCTGAAAAAAGTTGCCAGTTGGAATTGACTTTCCCTGTTCAGGGCCCGAAGTTACAGTATGCTTCAGTTGCTCGTAATACGGCTGACCCATTTCGCCATCATTGTTGTAAAGGCGTGTAGTTTTTAATATTCAACAGCGTGATTTATAATTGCTAAGATAATTTTACGTTAAAAATATTTCATTTTAAATAAAATATTAAGGTAGGCTAGTCGGTAGCTGTATTTTTACTTTCACATTAACTGATGTATCATGTTCCGTTAGATACATACTTTGACTTTTTTTTAAGGTACCGTTGACCTTTTATTTACCTACTGATCATTATTTTATATACAATGTGTCTTATTCTGAATGTTTGCAATGTAGTTTTGCTTGTTGGTTGGGTTGTCGAATTATTGTTACTTCAGCGTAGTTCAATAACGTTGAAATTGACTATTGTATTTAGTGCTTTTGTTATCGTAGAAAGCTATCTTCGGAATAAATAAACGGCTTATATTTGGCGTCAGGATATTTGATTACGTAGCAGTGTGCGTACGGTCCAAAGCGAAGCAATTTTTGGGGATCTTCGCCGCAGGAAACAATCCGCTCCGCTGAATAATTAAATGTATCCCGAATTACTTTTCTCTTATTGTTACTAGATCATCTCTCAGAACGATGCTTAGGATTTTATGCTGCAATTTGTAAATATTAATAACGTAGTATTTTTTATCAAAAACGTATTTAGTGTTTGTACTTTATTTATTTATGTACACACATACAACATAAAGGACAACACATTTATAAAATTGAAGTACAAAGGTACCACCTACTATTCAGAAGTTTTATCCCTATTATCCGTATTTTATAGATAAATTCAAATAAAAAATAAGTAAATCATAGTACTCTTTTAGTTTACTTTATGCAAATGTATTCTAGGATGGCACCCTTAAAACAAAAGCTTTTAAGGTCATCTTAACAAAGGCGTGATTAGGTATCAAGACCCGCCGCTGAGGCTCTGACAAAATTAATGTCGAATGTCAGAAAGCCTTTGAGTACTATTACTCATAGAGATTATAAAATTATTCGCTCTGACAGCCACTAAATTATTTACAACTATAACAATACATTTCAAGTAATATTGTATTCTTTCAGGGATACTTTGTAGCCTTCACAGAATTTTGTCTGGAGTTTTTGCCCACAGGCTTGCTTATAGAAGACGGAGACGTTCTTACAAGGTTACTAGGTACTATTCATTTAGGGGTTTTTTTCTTGATGACGGGGAAAAACCTTCAAAAGGCACCTAGCTTAAATAGGGACCAGGATATTTGTCTAGATTTTAGTGAAAAAATGACCTATTGCTACGTGGAAACAACACACGATACTTAAAACTCTATTGACCTTTAATAAGCCCCTAAAGAGAAAAGCGTATTATATATGTAACATCTCTTTGAATATACCCTTAAAATAAGGCAGTGTAGACTATGTCGGCTCGGTGAAGGCTATTGTCAGACATGTGCAGTTAATTCACCTAATTAGCTCGCCCGTATTAGAGCATAAGTCTTTCACATTTTTTGCGTTTATAACCAGCAGTATTACGACTGGTCACCTCGTCCCTTAATATTTCCATTACCTAACTTAATTAACGTCATCTAGGTTCCTTTTGTGTAGATTTTAGGTACAGTTTTGTGAGCCTTTGTTTTCGTTCTAAACCTCGCACTTAGATAGTCGCGTTTTTTATCACAAAGAAAATAGAGGACTCGAAAATGCGGTACAGAGGTTTTTTATAATTAATCGATTTGTTTGTGTGGTGTTTCTAATAGTCGTCTAGTTTATAACGTTACGTTTCCAATGAATTAATGTATTGTGTCTATTATTTACTAATAGGTAACCTGGTAGTTAGTAGTAGGAAACCTAGTATTAATAAAATTATAGGTGGGTACATACATATAGGGCGTTTTATTTTTAAAATCACTAATTACCAATGCTTAATAAGATATACATGTTGATATTTATTTTACCAAAACGCCTTGCTATAAGGAGTCCTTTCGATGTATGAATAAAGTAAAATAAAAAAAATTAGATGTCATTTTTTTGTAGGCACTGTTCTCATCGCACGTGCTACCCGACGAGAAATACCTCTTCGAGAATTACATGGCGTGATGTTTTGATAATATACAACTATGAGTTCGTATGCGCTTTCGAAGTTTGCTTTTTGCAATGGTTCATCATTTTGTTTAAAACATTTTATTTCTTTACAAAACTATTGTATTACCAAGACAGAACCATAGACGAATACGAAATAGATTTCACGGTGTATTTCAGAATTAAGTACTTTTAATAGCGCGCAGATGTAAAAATATAATGCTCATCTAAATTATATTCACTTCAGAGAATCTTCAATATGGAACGTAATCACTTTCTAAATAAAATGAGCGAATACTTATACATCAAGTTTCAATTACAAAAAATATATTACATAGAAAAAAGGCTCATGTATTTTATGCGTTGTAATCTCCAAAGGTAAAACCTAGTCCAGGCTACTTGGACAGGCAACTTGGTACTAGGCAGAGGTGCACATTGCATGTAGCAACTACTTTTCACTGTAATTATAGTTTTGTAATGTATTACATTTATTACTAGCTGACCCGGCAAACTTCGTAACACCTATAATTATTTTTACTCACCTTTCTAAATCTTCCCTGTACTTCTACCAAGTCCAAAATTAGCCAAATCTGTTCAGCCGTTCTCGAGTTTTATTGAGACTAACGAATGGGAATTCATTTTTATTTAAATAGATGTAACTGTAACTGTTTAGTGTTTGATTTTGGCTACTATTGTAGACCAAATCAGGATTTTAGAGTACGATTCCTATGCCAGGATTTATAACTATTTCTAAACTTTTTTATTGACAAAAATTCGCAGTAGGTACCCCTGTATTACTGTATAAATTGTAGGTGATTACAAAAACTGTTTTCCTTTGATTAAAATTGATAATAATGCATATCCATTGGTACAATTAATACTTTAATTATAGACATAAAGTATTGTACCTACATAATATTTAGCAGGTACGTGTTTTGCTTGAAATAATTATTATTCGTTTCTTAATTATGCTGAAGTACAAGTAAAACAGGAAACACTATTCAAACTATACGCCAGCTACGCCACTCAACGTCACGCAACTCGGAGTGCGATTATTTATTGTTCAATGAAATGTGACAGAATTATACCTACATTAATCACATTATATCAGCCAAGTATGTTCATAAATAGGCCGACATAGTCTCTTGAAATAATGACTGTGGCACCTGGCTACTATAGACTTACACGCAGAGTGCACACACATTGACACGAAGGAAATCTGTCACGTGACACGGCTCGTCATCACACTTCATATATTCTGGTGTTGCAAGTACACGCACGCATAGATGTACGACTCATATTTTGGTGCTTCAATAATTTCTAAGAGACATTACGTTCACATTTTTTCAACGTCCTTGATATCAGCTTAAAACTTAGACGTGACCATGACGTGACTGACTAACGTCATGGAGAGTTGAGTCGCATTAGTTCATATGTGTGTTTCCATCTTTATCTTGTTATTCAAACCAAAACCCAACAACTGTTTAACTTTTTACTAAATAATTCACAAAAAGAAACCTCTTTTAAATACGACCAAAAACAAGCACCTTGAGAGATAATGAATGTCACGTTTAATCGCTAATCTGTGAGGTCTTTAGCTGTCAGATGTCATGAAACCTGCCATACGGAAGGGTGTGGAAGGGTCACACAAACAGTGTGAAATACAAAAACATGCTAAGTTCTAAAATTAACATGGGGATAAGATGGTCGTTTATGCGTTTTGTTGTAACTAGGGACAAGGGAACGGCTACAGATCCAGTTCAGCAGTTATTTGTTGACAAAATACGAGAGTATGCAAAAAGGTCCGCTGATGGTAAATTAGTAGATCCCAGTCCAAGTATCCTGAAAGAAATGAAGAAAGAACTCGAGAAGTTAGAACAGCAATTAGGAGGTGGTGCTGGTGTGGATATGACCACATTTCCAACTTTTAAATTTGATGATGTAAAGGTAGATCCTATTGATGAATTGGCTCCTGACAAAGTCGCAGTAAAGCAGAAGAAAGGCGGAGACAAAAAAAAGAAGAAGTGAAAAAATTTTTGTAAATAAGATTATTAATTTTCAACATCAAATATAAATGTTACCATATATTCTGTATATTACATTTGCATTCGATTTCCAGTAATATAGTAGTTATTAATAAAAATCGGTGAGTACATAATATGAGGTTCGTCGTTCACATTATTGGACCGATACATAATAACCTTTGGCATTTAAAGTTTGATGGAATTTCTCATATCTCTATGTATCATAACAATATATCTTGGCAGAAAATTGCGAGAGTATTTTGGGACACTTGATGGATAAGATCCCGGCGCATAATTTTTCTTCCGAATATCATATAAAGCAGCATAACAAAAACTTACTAGCAGATATTGCTCATATATTGATGTTATGAACAATAACGTACCCTAATTTAGTTGAGAGCCTCAAAGTTGGGCGAGTAGCGGAGCGTGGAATTCCTTACAAGAGGTTCCAACACTCGAGTAATATAAGTTTATCCAGTGACACGGAGGTATCTTTATTACCTGTCTACATAAGTACCTGCGTAACTTTGGAAGAAGACATAAAATTTACAGTCTCGCAGAATATTTGGAGTTTTTAATCCAGTGGAGTAATTCCGTGGAATGAACTCGTTTGTTAGGCGTACAGCTTATGGAACTGTCGATTGTGATCTTGGAAGCTGTTTGGACGAATGATGGAAAGAAATTTTAAGGTGGTCCTTCGTTGCAATAGAGAAAAAAGATATTAATGTATGTTTTTTTTTCTTTATTTATTTACAGGGGTTTTTCTTTAAAGAAAACGACACTCCGATTATTATTTATGTATGTTGGTTCAATTAAGGTTTTACAGAACGGTTCATTGTTAAGAAAATAAATTTATTTATTGACTATCTCATTGGCTCACTCGTTGCAAGTGCGACCCGGACAAGGGCTATCGGCTTCGATTCCTGAGTTGGGCAAAGAATTACTAGGTTTTTAAAAAATTGTCAGTAGTAGCACGTAGTCTGGCAATGTGCCCGATATATTGCAATAGGCTCACATCCTATTACATGGGACTCGTAATATAAATGGCGAAAAGTGGGTGTAACATTGCACAGTGCGTTAAGTGCCGTAATGTGCACCTCTGCCAACCCCTTCGGGGATGTAAGGCGTGATGTTATGTTATGTTATGTAATAAATTTATTACCTCCATTCATTAAATGTTGTCGAAGTGTTATAGATTGAATTCGTGCATGATTTGATTAAATAGAAATTTTCATTTTCATCCTTACTAATCCTTACTTCCTTACTAATATTATAAATCGGAAAGTGAGTTTGTTTGTTTGTTCCACTTTCACACCGTAACTACTAAATCGATTGCTTTGAATTTTTGCAGACTTAAAGTTAGAAGTCCGAATTAGATAATAGGGTACTTTTAATCCCGGAAAAATTTGATATTCCCGAGGGAAAATAAAGTATTGGTATAGATGGCGCTGTATGTGTTGGTATAATATGTCACATAGGCTACTTTTTATTCTTTTGTGACGCGAGCGAAGCCGCGGGTAAAAGCTAGTAGTTTAATAAACAAAAAAATACTAATAAACATAATTCTAGTTAGTCTAGCTACTCCACCTTTAGGCTAATCATTTTCTAAGCATAAAAATAAAGCAAAAGGAAATTCTCTAATAGTGGTAGTGTGCCTTATAATTCGAACAAATGTTTATTAGGTAACATGTAGGTAAGCAATTACGGTAAGTGAACGGAAAAACACAACGCTTAGTAATTAGTAAAGCCTTGCGATTTCTTCCACTTTGTGTAAATTGAATACCGTTGCGTATCCCGACCGGCTGTGATCAGAATACAAAGTATCCGGGATATTGTACTGATGTGCAATGTTATTAACTCATTTTTATTTATTTTTTTCTTTTTTCTTAAAAAAACGTTGCCCCACACTAGGATTTTCTCCTGTATCGTGGGTGCGTTTACAAACATACAAGTTCACATACACATGACACCCAGACCCGAAACAACAATTTGTGGATCACACAAAGTGTTGTTCCGTGCGGGAATCGAACCCGCGACACGTTGCACGGCAGCCGGACTTTAATTATGAGGGTACGTAATAGGATAGTTTCCTAAATTTTATTTTAATGTCCGTCTTGTACATTAATTTAAAACTTTAGACTCGTATTTTTTTATTTTCTCACAAAATTAAATACTTTTGACGATATATCAATTTGAAATATTGTGTGACGTCACAGCGTGCCACATTTTGTAGCACGTAATGACGTAACGATCTCCCACTCCTAAATTTAGTGCCATTATATGCACAGTATGTACACTTAATACGAGAAAATAAAAAAATACGTGTCTATAATTTTTCCATTATCTAACTGACGGACTAATTAGATTTTTAATTTTGGTATCCCGGAAACTACCGCTTAAATACATCCCAAGGGTTTCACACTTGTTCTACAACGATAAAGACTTGAAGTGTCTGTCAACATATTTTTTCATTATTCAATGTTTTCTCTGTTAAAGTGTATGTACCATTTGGCTTTGTACTGAATTGTAAGTTGTAATATGTCGTGGTGTCGCGGAGAACCTAACGGGTAACCGGGGCTCCGGCTCGACGTGCAGGAGAAGGAACGGGGTGGTTTTTAGTCAGTAAGAGTCTGACACTCCCTTCCGCCTCACCCAGGCGGGAGCAGTCATTCGATGATTTTCCCCCCTTAAAAAAAAAAATGTCGTGGTGGCCCGGAGGTTTAAGACGTCCGCTTCTCATATATGAGGAGAGTGCGGTTCAAAACCTACCAACGGCAAGTACCAATGTGACTATTTCCGTTAGTTGTGAGTTATATGTAGGTACTTTCTAAGATTATCAGGAAACCTGGGGTTATAATTTCTAATTATCAGTTTGAAATCGCCAACCCGCATTGAGCAAGCGTGGTGATTAATACTCAAACATTTTCCAAGCGAGAAGAGGCCTTTGGCCAACAGTCGCCACTTATAAGCTGGTGATGATGATGAAGTACCTAGTAAAGTAATACCGCAACTGTAGCATGAAATAAAAAATAAAATCTGTTTACTTTTTGGTACTGGAATGAAATAAAAAACGTTACCTATTTATTTCTGGTCACGTCCACAACACGATTCAACAATCATGATAAGTTTTCCAGCCAGTTAAGCGAACCACGTTGTTTATTAAGGAACAGGAATCCTCAGCCACGTAGCTCCCTGAAGATCGAAGGTATTAACAATAGACCGGCACATCATCTAATTAATTACGTGCACAGACTTGAGACTTACTTTCCCACGTACTTTTACAACTTACTCGCTTTTACCCATGAATTCGTACGTGCATATTAATGCTATTTTCCCCTCTGTTACTATAAGAATTTGAGCAATTATTATCTTAGTGCTCCCCTACCCTTCTTAAGGAATTACAATGTCAAATTTCAGCTTTCTACAACCGGGAGTTTTGGTTGGGTGTTTAAAAATAAATACTTATTTATCTCTGTAAGGAAATACAAGTATAATATTGATTGTTATGTAGTAGCTCTTGCCCGCGACTACATAGAATATGAATTTTTGAACATAACTTTTTTGTGTCCATTTTCCAATATGCCTAAGAGTAAGCCTATGTTACTTCTTAGTACATCAGCTATCTGCCAATAAATGTCTTGCAAAATCGGTCCAGCTATTCCAGAGATTAGCCAGCACAAACAGACTGACAGACAAAAATTGTAAAAAATGTTGTTTTAGTATGTGTATCGTATGTACCTCTATATTCTTATGCATGTAATAAAAAGCGGTTATTTTAATATTACAAACAGACAGCTGTACGTAAAAGTTAATTAAAATCATATCGGTCAGTTCGAAGTGAAATTCAATCAGATTTAACCTAGACTTCTCCGAATTTACCGAGCAAATTATTTTACTCTCTGTGGTTATCCATATCTCTACTGCATTTGTACGGGTTCGTGTGTCTGTTCAGTAATTAAAATACACAGGTCGGCCTTTGCTGTCTGTTTACTTATAAAATTATTTTTATTTAAAATGGTTTATTAAATTACAAAAGAGAAGAGTTAATTTCATAGTCTAATTTAATAATCTAAAGTCTGACGAAAACGAGTCATGTCATAATCATAATTCAGTTAACGTTTACCTCAGAAAAATCTAGCGGTTTTGAGTGAAGTTACAAGATCTTCTAACTCGGCATGACAGCTCGGGCTAAACATTTTAAAATAATATTATAACAAGTAAGAAAACTTATCGTAAAACTTTCCATAAAGTCGAACAGTGATTTATTTCTCTGAGTAATACCGCACAGAGGTATAAATTTCAATTTTTAAGTTCTATAGAAAAACTATTGGAAGAGAAACTACCAGGTTTCTGGCCACGTGAAAAGTTTTCAATTAACTCTTGAAAAGTCTTCCTAACTGACCTATGTTCCTTTGCTAGGAAGCCGGTTTAGTAGTTTAGCCGTTAAGACGCAACAAACGTACCGAAAACTTTTTTAATTAAAGATTGACTTTCTCTATTTTTACGTGAGAACACGCTGGGAGTTCAGATTCTACACAGGGATTTCATTCGCGCGTTAACTTACGTATCATTATGTTAGCTACTGACTTACAATATTAGCAATTTCAAGCACAATGGCGCTAAAACGTCATGCTTTAGATAGATTCATAGATAGATTCATTTATTTGCCTGAAATATGGTGGTTTACAGATTTTATGACATAACAATAGTTCATCATATCTTGCCTATAAATTTGGCAAATATTTTAACAAAACTAAATCACAATTTTCAAAAATGATTCTAAGTTAGAACAAACAAACAATCAAAACACAACCCTTTCGAATGATTCCAAATCAAAACAAGACAAACTAAGTTACAATTTCCAATAATCAATAATGACTCCAATTCAAAACAAAAAAAAAAAAATAACTACAATGTTGTTGAATATCAATAATTGAAAAAGCGGAGAAATAGTAACAGTATTAATCTTTTCAGTGTTAACGGATTTCCAGAAACAGTAAACTTTCGTCTTTATAGTCAGGATATAAAGCATAACATAATTATTCTGATATCTATTTGTTCGACTGTGAAACATACGTAGTTAGGTGTACTAATCAAGGGCATGTAACCAAGTCTTGCGGCTGGCGATCATCAGGCATACGGCTTTGAATATTCAACAGGGCAATTACTAGTTAAATCTCTGGTGTCTTGCTAAATCAGGCCACTACTACTGGTATACTGATCATTTATTACTTTTTTATTGTGTAATTTCATTTGAAATGAGTTTTTCTAAGGTTCCTATTATATTTGATAATTATAGTTTTGGTCATGGTTGTCTGAGGTTATTTCTGTTCTGTATTTTATAGGATGAACTGAAGTTGAACAAAGATAATATGTACTTACTTACTTAAACTTTGGCACTTGTATATTTATAAGGAAAGCACCATTTAAAGGAAACTAATTTTCATGGCATATATTTACTATTGATTCCAAGTACCACGATTAATCATTAGTTCTATAATATCAATTGGTATCAATGGACTAACTTATAGGTACTAAATTTGCAGAAATTGCCTTAACTATCGGGTCACGACAATTTCTGTATGTCGATGAACCACACAATGTAGTTACTAATTCGCTTAATTATACATAACTTTATTAATAAGCGGCGGAACTGGCTTACCATCGAAGATGTAGTGAGCTGCCTAATCACTATGGTAACGGATATAATACCGTCTAATTCGCGTGTCCCAGTGTAAACACGTAGTAGAGATATTAGTGGAAGCACACGGCGCCAACTTCGTATGAGATAATCCTTCTGTTAATATTCACTGTCGGTAGCTGCTCAGCCAGGATTCGATGCGGGAGAATCTGGATTCCGTAGTACGTGTGCACTAAGATACGCTGCATTATTTACCACGTTGGTTTGATTCACAATTCGCTAGCTGTCTACCTGCATCATAAATGTATTATTAATGGTCTTCAATCACGTAACGCATGAAATGGTAACATTGATCATATTATGCATAATGTGAGAATGCTAAGACCAAGATGTCAAGGAATTTATATCATCACCATCTTCATCATCAACAGCCTATAAGTGAACAGAGGCCTGTGCCTCTGCTCGCACGACGAGGGATTAAGTATTAACATTACGCTTGCTCAATGGGAGTTGGCGATTTTAAACTTATAATTAAACATTATAAACTCAGGTTTCTTCACGATGTTTTCTCTCACTGTTTATCAGTGGTGTCTAAAATAATCTTAGAAAGTACATATGACTCGGAAAAAGTCACATTGGTACATGCCGTTGGACGGTTTCAAACCCGCACCCTCATCCTCATGCATAAGAAGCGGGCGTCTTAAACCTCCTGGACCACCACAATGTGAAATTTATACATATATTATAGCTGCTTATATAAATTGCGTTGACTGCCTCGTTGGCCGAGTGGTCGCAAGTGCGACGGCCGGGCAAGGGGTCTCGGGCTCGATTCCCGGATCGGGCAAAGTATTACTGGGATTTTTCAAAATTCTCAGTAGTAGCACGGAGTCTGGAATTGTGCCCAGTATGTGGCAATAGGCCCACCCTCTATTAAATGGGACCCATAACATAGATAGTGAAAAGTGGGTGTTACATTGTACAGTGGCATTAAGTGCTGTAATGTGCACCTCTGCTCATCCCTGCGGGGATAAAAGGCGTGATGTTATGACATGTTATGTTATGTCTTAAATAAATTGCTTGAAAAAGACAAATTATATAAGACAAGGTAGCATTTAATTAATGGGACGTTAGACACAACATGAGTTTGTACAGTTTTTAATTAATGAATGTACTTTCTATCCTCGTTGGTAAGTGGTAGGAAAACAATAAAAGAAACATCTTAACTTGAGATGAATTAATTAAACTGGCTCGCAGCAATTGGAGAGCTCAGTAAAGCTGAATATCTCACTTCACTGGAGTGTATTTTATTTTTTCTTTTTTATTTTATCTGTGACTTTTTATAATAAATATAATTTAGGATATTTTTTTAAAATATTTATTACTCCCATTATTTTCCGTAAAGATAAGTAGGTTTGTTAAATTATGAGTTATATGTTATGAGTCCCATGTAACACTATTATAATAGTTAGGGCCTGTTTCACAATGTCTGGATAGCCGCTAACTCCCAGATAAATTCAAATTAAGAACGTAATTTGTATGAACTATCTGTCACATAAGTTCAGGTACTTACTTATATGGAGGTGGTGAAACCAGCGCTTTTTATAATAAATATTGCATACGCCCGCGTCGCGAGCATGCCTACGTAGTGCACGGCCTACGTGAATTTAATCGCGTTCTGTCATGTCATTGGTTGTGAAAATAATCTTGACCAATGACGGGCGAGAATGCGATCGAGCTCACTATGAAGGTTTGAATTGACAGTTATGTAATAGCCAAGCTAGTTAGGATTTTAAACTTCGAGCTGTTACAGAGTTAAAAAATCTAAAATCAATTTTTTAACCATAGTTTATATAGGGGCCTCAGCATATGGAGATGCTCACACTCTCATTGGCCGCAGTAATCTTATTTAAAACCCATGATGCAGTAACCAAACTCCACATTTCCTCTCACGTGTCGACACGACCATAAATACTGCTAATCGCTCACAGCTCGTGACGGTTAATGCGAGCATATGTGGCACCCCTAAGAAATCAAATAAAGATAAAAATCATTATAATTTAACAGTAATTAGGGTTGGAATTGCTATGATTTTTATAATGACTTAATAAACAGTATGTTTATTGTTTCCGCGGATGCGTATACAGGTATTGCAACAATTACACACGTCATGTTCGACGTTTGAAAAAATATGGACATGGTTCATCAGTCTTGTTGCATGTATCGACTGAACAATTAAAAAACTGATGGTTATTATCAGATAATGCACTAACTAATTGTGGACAGAAAAAATCGTGAGTTTTACGCAGGTAGTGTCTAATGTTATTATTAAATCAGTTACATTTGAAGTGTCTAGTGCATAAGTTCTGTTTTAGCAATACATGAATACAGAATTTGGGTGTTGAGTGGGACCAGTTCCTATCAAAATGGACGTCGCAGTGACAAAAGATCGAGTGTTTTTCACAATAAATGGAAGAAAATGTAGCGGTCAGTGGTCGACGATTATTTTTGAAACAAATTGTATTTTTGCGTCCGGAAATGCATTTTAGTGATATCGTGTTTTTTTTTATTTGGTCTACTGATTACTTATACAATACTTTCTGATGCAGCGGGTTCCGAGTTCACAGTGGACTTGACATTGAATCAGTACATTCGGCAATATGGGGAGTTTCGTGGCACGAAGTACATGTGCAAAGAAGGTGGATGCGGCGTCTGTGTGGTCAACGTCAGAGCTCATGCAGCTGGTACACAAGAATATACCACGTTTTCCGTTAATTCTGTAAGAACTTTAATAGTACATTAATAAGGTTTATATTTGATTAAAATATTATTATAATTTTTTTTTTTTTTTTTTTAGTGTCTGGTTTCTATCATGTCTTGCGATGGTTGGGATATAACGACTATAGAAGGTATTGGCAATAGAAAGATTGGCTACAATATCATTCAGAAACGACTCAATCATTTCTTTGGGTCCCAATGTGGTTACTGCAGTCCAGGGTTTGTGATGAGCATGTACAGGTAATGCTATTGAATAAAGATTTTGAATAAATGATTAATTCAGAGTTTGGTTAGATCAATACATTTTATTTGGTGAAGTGGTTTGGAATGAATTTAGTACCGAAATCATTTACGTTGTATTAGAAAAAAAATAGTTGTATCAAAATGCGTATTGCATATTATATTTAATGTTGCAATATGTATCATAAAGGTTAACTAATAAATAACTATTGCGGGTAATCGACATTTATCTTTTATAATTCCCATTTTATAGTAGTTAATTTTATTAACCCGTCGTGTGTCTAAAAGTGGATTCACGTGAGACACAATGTATTTTCTATTGTGTCTCATATACAGGCATTCAAGCGTTTAAACCAACTATATTCGTTTTCTAAACTTCCAGCCTCGCACAGGGCAGTGACCGCCATCTAAGTGAAGCAGAAATAGAAAACTCTTTCGGTAGCAACCTTTGTAGGTGTACAGGCTACCGTCCCATTTTAGAAGCATTCAAATCTTTTGCCGTCCACCCAGACGCGAATATATTGAAGAAGATAAAAGATATTGAAGATATATCTGAACAAATATGCCCGAAATCCGGTAAAACGTGTGGAGGCACATGTGGGATAAATGAGGATTGGTGTTTAGTAAATATGAATAATACGAGTGCTTCGGATTTGCCTAAGAAAATATGTCTCGCCGATGGACGGTTGTGGTTCTCCGTTAGCGATATAAGATCAATATTTGCTGTTTTGGACGATGTTGGGCTTGAATCTTATATGCTCGTCGCTGGTAATACCGCAAAAGGTAATTTCGAATTACTTTAGTATCGTTTGGCGCTATTATTAGACCTTTTAATAACTTTTAAAGTAAAAAAAATGTGATAATGAAGATGCATTTGAATATCGATCCATTTAGGACAAATGTAGAAAATGCACACATACATCAATCTGAAAAACCTTAATCACATAAAGACATACGATTGATACATTACAAGAAAACTCTTATTTCCTTCTAGGAGTCCGTCCAATGTTATTTTATCCGAAGATATTGATAGATATAAGCGATGTAAAGGAATTGGCGACTCACTACATAGATGTGAACTTAGTACTTGGAGCTAACATGACATTGACTGATACGATGCACTTATTCAAAGAGTTGGCTCAATCCAATGAGGATTTCTGGTACCTGCACATATTGTATGAGCATATGGATAAAGTGGCTCACATACCGGTGCGAAATGTAAGTATATTTTCGCTATTAACGAGTTAATGCAAAAGTAACTTTATAGAGGTATACAAACTGCTGAGCTGCTAAGTTGGTTTTTTTAAATGGTATCTAAATACCCCCAATCCATATATCCCCAAGCGGTCACCGGTGACCGCTTTCCATTACATTATAGACCTTATTTCCGATGTATAGAGACTACTTTTGTATGAACAAATTTAGGGGATAATATTTCAGATAATATTTTAATAGGTATATTATAATACCAAATTCTGTTTTAATTCTAGATTGGGACTCTAGCCGGCAATTTGGCATTAAAAAATTCGGATCCAAGTTTTCAATCAGATATTTTTCTTTTATTGGACTGTGTTGGGGCTATGGTAACATTAGGTAAGATTATGATATTTTTTATTTTACAAAAAGTATTGCAGAAAAAAATACTTATATATTAACTTTTAATTTTGTAATATTAGTGGACCGTGATATGAGACAGACAGATATGAATTTGCCGGAATTTTTGACGACAAATCTTAAAGGGAAAGTGATGACACAGATCAAACTGCGTCCATTGTCTCGTCACTATGAATTAGTGACTTATAAGGTAAGCGCAATAATTTCAACATTTTTCTCAAGCTAACCTAGACTACCTTGTTGCTTAAATAGTCACGTGACTATCAGAAAAGGGTTTCTGATCCCATTCCCGACTGCAAATATTTTATTCGATTCGTGTATAAACATGATGCCTTATGCTCAGTAGTCGTACCAACGATTAAAGCGAACTAAAGCTACTACTTATGTTTTATTTAACGTCTACTGAAATAACTATGTTTGGGAACACAATAAAAACCTGGCACAGAATTCTAGTAACACCAAATCTTTAAATGTTATACTCTAAGAATTTTTTGGCAATTCAGTACTTATTTGAATAGTTAAAATACTTATGAGATAAATGGTTAAACATGAACATTCGCTTCTAGATTACGCCAAGGGAACAAAATGCTCAGGCAGACGTAAATGCTGGCTTTCTTTTGAAATTCAACTCTCATACACATCTTGTTGAAGAAGCGTCTATTGTGTATGGTAATATTAATCCATCATTCACCCACGCTTATGAGACGGAAAGGTTTTTAATTGGACGTAATATATTTAATAACAACGTCCTACAATCTGCTCTGCACATCTTGGAACGAGAAATAGATCCCAGTATCCGACCACCATATCCACCGCCGTGTGTTCGGAAGAAAGTGGCTCTTGGACTTTTCTATAAGGTATGTAAAACTCTAAATGCAAATGGTTTTAAGACAAATTCGTTGTTTTCGATCATTATTTGGGTATGTCAACGTTCAGAAGTATTGTATTTTCAAAAATATGAATAAGGATAAACTATTCTAGCTGTAATATTTTTGTTTCAACAGTGTATTATAAAGTTATGCCCAAAAGACATACTGAACCCGATCTATAAGTCAGGAGCTACAACCCCTAGTGACGATCGACCGCCAGTCAGCCGTAGCTATCAAGAATATGACACGGATAAGAAAGACTATCCTATAACACAACCATTACTAAAGAAGGAAGGAATGATTCAATGTGCAGGCGAAGCAGAGTATTGTGACGATATACCCACTATAAAAGATGAAGTCTTTGCAGCTTTTGTGCTCTCTACGGTAGCAAGAGGAGATATTGAAAGTATTGATAGTTCTGAAGTTATGGTAAGTCATATTTAATGACCATTTATGTATATGTTAAATTCTCTTCTAAATTTTAACTAAGTAAATATCGTCTTTTAGAAAGTGGACGGTGTATTAGCAGTGTTAACATCTGTAGACATACCAGGTGTAAATAGCATACTTCGTGGAGATTTTCTCCTAATGTTTGAAAATGAAGAACTTTTAGTAAGTACCAAGGTAAAGTTTTATAATCAACCAGTTGCTATCGTCGTTGCAACGTCTCAAGAATTGGCTGACAAAATGGCCCAAGTAGTAAAAATAAACTACAAGAATGTTCCAAAAAGACCACTGATTTTTACTATTGAAGATGCAATACATGCCCCAAAAGAGGAAAACAGACTTATTCCATATCCAGGAATAGTGCCAACTGATAGAGGAGCCAATGTCAGGAAGATTATTAAAGGGAAATTTATCAGTCCATTGCAGTATCATCACATGATGGAGCTTCATACAACTGTTACAATACCAGTCGATAATGGTTATGACGTTATATCGTCAGCTCAATACCTGGATATTACACAGGCAGCAATCGCTAAACTTTTGAAGATTCCCGAGAGTTTGTAAGAAATATTTTTGTTCTTCATAAATTTAATGATTTATACTTTATACATAGTATAACAAGTGTTGATTTCAGGATAACGGTAAAAACAAGAAGACTAGGAGGTGGTTTTGGATGCAAAATCAGCAGAAACAATTTTGCAGCATGTGCCACGGCTTTAGTGGCAAATAAACTTAATAAAACATGTAGAATGTCTATGTCGATGACAAATATTATGCGTGCTACAGGAAAAAGACCAAATACCAGACTTGATTATGAGGTACGCATGTTATTGTAATACTTCACTCAGCAGGTTCTTCTAGGCTGTACTTTATAAAAGTTAAATATGTTCAATTAGGTGGGAGTCGACGAAAGAGGAGAAATCAATACATGGATGCTGTATTTTATCTGAATGACGGTCTATCTCGTAATGAAAACCAAAATGCTTATGCCACAGAATCGTTGAAAAATTGTTACGATTCTCGTAGATGGAAATGTGATTCTTTTGGCGCCATTACAGATTCTCCAACCAATACCTTTATGAGAGCCCCTGGTAAGTATTGTAAAAATGTATAAATCAAAATGAAGTTATCTATATGCACATTCTTGTGTGTTTGTTTAACTCTCTTCCATTTTCATTCCCTTGCAGGTGGTTTTGAAGGAATATCTGGAATAGAACATAATGGACCATATAGCCGAAGAGTTAAATGCAGATCCGATAGAAGTACGTATGGCTAACTATCGACGAGAAGACAATGACTTACCAAAATTAGTACCTATGTTTCTAGACAGAATAAATTTCAAGGAGCGCCTTAATAATGTAAAAGAGTTCAATCATCTCAATAGGTGGAAGAAACGGGGAATAAGGATGAATAATATGGCATTTCCAACTGCATATATAGGCAATTATGGAGCTCTCGTGTCAGTATACCATGGCGATGGAAGTGTTATCGTAAATATTGGTGGTATTGAAATGGGACAAGGAATTTTCACAAAAATGGCTCAAGTAGCAGCATCCCAGTTTGACATTCCTGTTGAAACTGTAACGGTTTTACCCTGTTATAACTTTACTACTCCAAATAATTTTGCGACAGCTTCTAGTATACTAGCGAATGCTGTGCATACAGTGTAATAAGATGCTGTGACCAAATCAAAGCGAGACTGGCTCCTTTTAGAGCAGCAAGACCTACAGCTTCGTGGCAAGAAATTGTGTTTGAAGCTGACAGGCAAGGAGTACTACTCCAAGCAAATTACCAAACAAGTCAAAATGATCCTAGATTGGTCAATTATTCCATATTTGGATAGCTGTAACTGAAGTGGAAGTTGACATTTTGTCTGGAAGCAAATGGGTTGTTCGTGCAGATATATTTGAAGACGCTGGTCGTAGTTTGAATCCAGCTATAGATGTTGGCCAGGTGAAAGATTTTTTGTTGAGGATTGACAATATATTATTTTTCTAATTCAATTCATATGCTTATAATATTTACCTTTTCACGTAGGTTGAAGGAGCATTTGTTCAGGCCATGTCTTTGTGGTTAATTGAAAATATAGTGTACAACGAACATACTGGAGAATTATACAGTGATCGGACTTGGACGTATAAAATTATCGGAGCTAAAGATATTCCATATGACTTCCGTGTTTATTTTAGACGAAAGAGGCCTAACCCTGTAGGCATTTTGGGATCTAAAGGTAAGGTATTAAGCTGTGTTAACCTGTCCATAAGAGAGAATGGTATTTTATCCGTTTATATATATTTACAGCTGTTGGTGAACCTCCAGGCTGCCTTGGTCATGTTGTGGTTAATTCTTTGAGAATCGCAGTAAAATCTTCTCGCAGTGACAGTGGCTACCATCCAGATTTTGTCAATTTACGTAAGTTTCGTGTATTATTTTAATGAGATACAACAATTTTTCAGTTGCTATTCTTTTCCAAATATTCATTTCGAGAGAACTAATAAATGTAATTGTAATTTCAGAAGTCCCAGTGAATATGGAAAGTCTAGTTGAAGCTGCTAATGTGAGAATAGAAGAGTTTCTACTGTACTAACTAAGAAATAGCAGATGATTATTTATTAATAAGAAAATAGTTTTATACTATGGGAGAAGAACATCTTTCTGAATCATAGTCTAATAATTATTATGGGCAATGACCTTTTTCATTATAACGTCTCGATAGTAAAGTAATAATATCAGTTGATCCTACCTAAGCGTTTATATTATAGTTGAATGATTCCCTTTGTCGGTCGTAAATCCATTGCTTGTACTAGGGTTTATTTGATTATGTGGACGGACTCGGCGCCGGGACGCATATAACCAGGTTTATGGCTTACTTAAATAACTACTGTACTACGGAACCCCTTGCCTATGTACTTTTGTTTTACGTATTTAATTTATTTTATTTCTAAACGTTTATAAAATTACTTTTGTTTATCTTTTATTATTATTGTTTGTTTATTGTCTGAGGTTTATGTTGTTTGTTTGCACTTTGTGTTTGTTTTTGGCAAAAAATATAATTTTTATGTTTTATTTAATGTTATTAAATGTTTATTTCTTTGTTTATTGTACCCCAATTTTTACTTATTCTTACTTTGAGTTCGTAATTTAAACTTTATTTCCAGTTTATTTAAGTGCCTACTTAAATAAGCTACACTTATTTAGCTTGCAGCGTTAATTCAAACATAAAATAGAAACATCTAATTTGGTAGCACATTTTCTGTTCACTATAAAAGTTGAGGATTTTCATCATTTGTCCTGCAAACCGTTTTCTACTTTGGACGGACAGTATAGAGTTGGCTTTGGATCTGTGTCTACGCATTGGGATTATTAAAGAATATCCTTTATATTCTGGGACGGGTCAATGGCCGCTGCCGGCAGGTGTCACCCACACCGGAATATTATGTCATGAACTCTGCGATTTCTTTTCAAAATTAATAAAATACTTCTTTGATTTTTCATTTGTTTCCTCATAGTATCGACAGATGTCGTGTCGATAAAATGTGCGTTGTCTTCTACGGATGGATGAGATTGGTTCCGTCCTCAGTTTAGCGGTGCAAGGCATGCCTGGGTGGCACATACCTACGTCTAGAAATGGTCGGAGAATAATTTGGTAATGATGCTTTTAAAAGCAGGATCCTATATTTATCGAAGGTAAAAATTACGTACATACGTAAACCAAATATAACTCAACTTAGGCAAACAAATTGAACGAGGTCAGTGTACGAAATAACTAGTGTGCAGCAGCAACAGCAGTGTGGGTGTTGAAGCTGAAGTGTGTAGGTGTAAGGCCTACATAGAAAGGGGTGTTTTTGATTGAAGATGACACCGGAGACAATGCCGTTAGGTATCATTTTACATCAAAGCCCACAGGGTGACAGTTCGACCAGAGCGCCAGCCTAGCGGAAAATAGCCTGCGCGGTATACCGAGCAATGCCGAGCTATCGACTAAGTCTCGATTATGTGTTATACTTTATGACAGGGTTGGTACGAGGATATTTATGTTGTGGTGTGTGCGTTTGCGGTGTTTCTTGGGATTATTTGATGATGTTGTAGTTTAACCAGTATTGTTATTTGTTAATATGGAAGACAATATGAACTGAAGTAGGAAGCAGAAATTACTGTCCGTCCCTTTCTGATTCTTTGAAACCCATAAAAAATAACAACGTTTTGATTAATTGACAAAATTGAGATCGTGGTTTAGGTTCACTTCCATGACTTTTGAGAGATGCAATAAAATAATAAAAGAATTTGAATTTGAATTAGAGAATCACCACGTAGCTTATTAAAAACTTGTGTAAAATTTCGTTTTAAACTGTTATTTTAAACATATGTAACAATCGCTTTAAAACAAATAACACCAATTAAGAATCAACATAGAGAAAAAAATCGAAATATCATTTACCTTTAAGATAAAATCAACCGGAGCTAATAAAATGGTTTTCCTAGAACAGTAAGAGAATCAATTCCATTCACTTACACCCCGTCACTAACACTGTGAAGGAAATTAGTACAAATGGAGTCAATATTGTGAGACAAACAAATACTCGTTGGCAGTCGTCTCTCATTTGTTTCGTACGTGAGTCGTGCGTGCGAACTTTGGTGCGGAGTGAGACATGTACCAATTGTTTTGTTGTTTTAAAAATTAGGTGAGCTTGGTTAGGTTGTGGAATGGAAAATTAAGAAAACCTTTTATTTTTTCTTTTTGTTACAGCAGTAAGATAATGGTTTTTCAATTGCATAAACGTCGTTATATTTATTCAAATCTGATTAGTCATTTCGGAGATTGGTTCAATTTCCAAACGTCCTTAAGTTATATGCAACATTTTGAATCAAGTATTTTACTTAACGTATTCTTTAAAGTGACCGTCCCTTTGAACTGAAAACTAGAACTTCTGACTTCCTCTGTACACTGGCGGTATGCGTATACTAATAACGTAGAAATACATTTTGTCTCTAGATGTAACTCGCGTTTTCGTCAAATTTGTCGAGGGGTAGGTGTGAGGCTCTGTAACGAGCCGACGTCTGCGGCGTCGTCGTTCCACGACTAACAATAATTCATTCCAGCTGCCTGTCAACAATTTCACCCCCCGCTGTTAGTACCTCGAAACTAAATGGGCGTATGTCTGCTCAAATAATTTAAAAAAATTACACTTTAGTCTTCAACAGCCTACAATTCTTACGACTAATATAACGAAGTATTTTTCTTGAAAACTTATGAAGGAAAAATATTTTTTCAATAGGTTCTTAACAACAGGCTAACTTTAATAGTCTTTGATGAGTTGGGTCTAAATGAGAGACATGTGCTGGATGTAAGTATTTACATGTAGGTAAGGTATTAAAAAAAAATCAGTAACTGCTGTCTTGCTCTCTTGTCTCTGTAATTACTGGTCCTGTATTCACAAATATCACAAAACGGTGACGGTTCTGCCATTCGATTCAATGTTTAAACAATCCAATACATACTTTTGTTTTTAGTCTGTAATAAAATGAACTATCTTTATCAAAAATATTGCATGACATGAAAGATTTTATTATAACACATCGTTAGAATAAATCTAGCTGAGTTTTAGGTCTTCAGGCATACACCCCACGTCATACGCAGATTTTCTTTATGGGCAAGACTGAAATATTAATGTAGAAATGGTGCATAGGTTAGAGACCTACATTATCTCTTTTTGTTTTTTTCTTTTTATAAAGTGATGAAAAATTGATCAAATATTATTAAGTTTATTATAAACTGTAATAATAATAACGAAAAGTATATTCAAAGTTTTAAAAAAAAAAATCCAGTTGATTAAATTGTTGCCACTCCTCGCAGAAGGTGCATGTCACTGAGACATCTAAATATAAAAGTGTATACGACAAGCCCTCATATTTCACGGAAGTTGAACAATGACACGTGGGTACTCCACACGGCGGGGTGTCGGGAAACTCCACCCTTCATTTTCACGTATGGGAAATACTTGAATACTTGAACTTTTACTTGACTTAAAGGGAAGCCAAAAATCGAGTTAAAACCTCACCACATTCTTGAATTCGGTCTCGTTTAGAGTTGTAAAGTTAATGTGTACCTATTGTCTAACGAGGGAGGTTGGTAGGTTCACAGTTTGATAAATGAGCGGACGACACACATTTCGTAACTATGCGAATACCTGCGGCCATGGAGCCATGAAGATGGCGCATCGCCAACAGGCGAATTTATGTTGGAAAAACTCAGCTGTACAGGTGAGGGAACCGCTTTTAGTTGGAGATTGTGTATATAAAAGTTTAAAGACAAAAGCGTTGGAGCTTCGGTAAAATACGCAGTGGATTGCTTCGATGTCGGTCGCTGGGATCCATAAAGAAGCAGCGCTAGCTAATATCTGAGAGTACTCTGGGCCAGGTGACAATTGTTCGCCGTTGCCTCGCTGCTCGGCGCCTAATTGCTTTGCGTCGTATGAAACGGATATAAATAAAGGTCCTATGGCCTCATTAAGACTAACATTATTTTCTAGAAGTATGTGAGAGTAGTTTTATACTTGTTGAGATAAAGATAAAATAGACGATGAAAAGCAGTTTTATACGTTCTTCTCATAAGACAATGTGATTCTTTAGCGGTTTATTGATATCAATGTTCGTGTTACATTAAGTAATTGACTTTAGACTTATTTTTTATTGAAGAAGTAAGGAGCCAACGTTTTCAAGAACCGTGTCTACAGCTTACTTCATCGTATCTCTTCAGTACGCATCCTACTGTTTTAATTACACCCTCTAGTTCACCGGTACAATGATAAACAACACCCCGTTCTTGTTTCACCTCCTTATTTCTAGGTTAGCCACGTTATAAATTACTTTGGCGTAATAATGACTGCTCTGACACTGGCCGGAAATTAAATTCGTTCAATAAATTTACGCATTATTTCGTCATTATTATGATGACTTTGTTTTTCAGTATTTTTTAGGAATAATAACTTTTTATCGTCAAAGAAAAAGTGATAACACGTTGTAATAAAAACTTTTTTCAATGAGTTTATTTCATCTTTGGATTGACCATGATACAAATAGTTTTACGAACTATAGAGGACGAAAGTATTTTTTTGATTATCAAACATCCAAACTGAGAAGGGGTCGTAAGTTACTGCAATTGTAATGAATAACAATATATAAATAAAAGTGGTCTTTAAACACATTGTATTTTTTATACATGTGATAAATAGACTCAATAAAATCTTTTTGATTTAGCTAAAGTGTTATTACGTACTATTTCGTTCGCATCGCCTGTCACGATAACCTAAAAGTTGGCTTACACCGTACACTATTGCCAGTCCATTTAGGATAACGAGCTTGATGTTATGCTAGGTTCTATTAGAATGTGAGAGTAAAGTTTCCCAACTTAAGCTTTATAGAGCGAACACTAATTCGTTGAACATAAATTACCAAAGAAAACAAGTACCGTTGGCTTGAAAAATTGCCTAAAAGGAAACTGAAGTACGGGGTACAAATAGACGCCACACGGTGCCACACAGCCCGGAACTATTCAATTCTTTAGATACAGAACTAACAATATTATCTAACTATTAATAATACTGTGTACTATTCTACAAACTAGAAAATTGCATTACAACTCTCGTGGGATACATACTGAAGTAATTTTTATTGTTTTCGGCTCAATTACGTACTGTTTGACTGGGAACTCGACTAGTTTCAAGCCATTCTAGAGGCTCATATTTATGAGCAACATTTCGCGACACACGACGGGCTGCTTCATCGGTACTCCTCGTCAAACAATTACGTGAATAAGTAATCAAATTTCATTGCAATGAATGTGTGGTACACATGTCCAATATTATTAGTTTAACGAATTATGACAAAGGTCACTTTTACCTCCACTTAAATAGATTTCATGACGAATTGTAGTTTGTTCAAACAAAATGTTTAAAACAATCATTTTTCAAAAGTATGACATAAATCTCTCGCAATATTAGTACT